CGGCTCAGGTCAGGATCTCATGGTTGGTGAGTTCAAGTACTGTATCAGACTCTGTGCTGATAGCTCAGAGCCTGAAGCCTGCTTTGGATTCAATCTCCCTCTTTCTCTCTGCCCCTTCCCTGCTTGCACTCCATCTCTCTCTCTCTCAAAAATAAACATACATACATACATACATAAATAAAAATAAAGTAATGACCATAAAGATACTCGCTGGACTTGAGAAAAGAGTGGAGGACACCAGTGAGACCATTAACACAGAGATAAGTAATAACATAGCAGAGATAAAGGACTCAATAAGTAAAATGAGAAACATGCTTGATGGAATGAACAGCAGGCTGGAGGAAGCAGAGGAATGAATCAGTGACCTACAAGACAGAGTCATGGAAACCAATGAAGCTGAACAAACGGGAGAAAAAAAAGAATTACGTAAAACAAGAAGAGACTTAGGGAACTCGGTAACTCCATCAAGCGTAAAAACATTTGTATTATAGGAATCTAAGAAGAAGAAGAAAGAGAAAAGGGGCCAGAGAATTCCTTTGAAGAAATAATAGCTAAAAATTTCCCTCATCTGGGGAAGGAAACAGATATCCAGATCCAGGAGGCACAGAGAACCTCCAACAAAAGCAGATCCACACCAAGACATATTGTAGTTAGAATGGCAGAATAGAGTGATAAGGAAAAAATCTTAGGGACACCTGGGTGGCTCAGGCGGTTAAGGGTCTGACTCTTGATTTTGGCTCAGGTCATGATCCCACGGTTCATGAGGTTGGGCCCCATGTCTGACTCTGTGCTGACAGCACAGACCATGCTTAAGATTCTCTCTTTCTCTCTCTCCCCCACCCCTCCACCGCTGTCACATGCTCTCTCTCTCAAAAATAAACATTTCATTTATTTTTTTGAATGTTTGTTTATTTTTGAGAGAGAGAGACAGAGAGAGAGAGACAGAGAATAAGCAGGGGAGGGGCAGAGAGAGAGGGAGACACAGAATCCAAAGCGGGCTCCAGGCTCCAAGCTGTCAGCACAGAGCCCGACGCGGGGCTCAAACTCACGAGCCGTGAGGTCATGACCTGAGCCGAAGTCAGACGCTCAAACGACTGAGCCACCCAGGGGCCCCTAAATAAACATTTTAAAAATCATTTAAAAAAAAGAAGTCTTAAAAGCAGTAAGACAAAAGAAGATAGTTACCTAGAAATGTCATCGCAATCCCCCTTTGCTGCAACATCCAAGCTCCTGATCACTTTCCTTCTTCCGGTAATCTAGTGTAACACCTTGTATTGCTAGCACCAATGCTAACAAAAGACATTATTTTTTACAGAAGTAGGAGTCCATTGCAGACCGGAAACTGAAAAGGCTGGCTGTTCACCAGAAGCACTGTTTCATCTGGCATTTTCTGCCCAAATAGCCCTGAGCCCACTTCTAGGGTCTCTGCAGGCCTCTTCCTCTGCTGTCCTTTGTGTCCCCTCTGTCACTGTGTACACCTGGCCCTCCCCTGGTACAGGTGGAGCCTGGACTCGTGAGCTCATGTGCCTCCTTGTGTGCACCTGAGGCCCCTCACAGTGCACAACAGGGAGGGGAGGAGATGGGAAGGAAACGGGGGAGGCTGAGGGTCGGGGAGCCACGGACAGCAAGTTGTTACGAAGACGTCTCTGTTAAGGTAGGGGACAGAACACACTTTAACAGTCTGTTAGCCTGACCCCTTGACTTCCTCAGCACTTAGACAAGTGGTGTGTGGGCCTCCTTGTGTTACTTGCCCCCAGACCCATAAAGGCTCCAGGCAGGCCCGCCCGGAGCATCCCAGACGGCTGCTGGGGAACTGTGTGCGCCCTGTGAAGGCACAGCAACGTTTTACCGCGTGGCCTTCAGGGGACCCTGAGCCCATATGACTAAGAACCATTTGTGGAGATACCGCAGAACATTTGACTGAACTTCCGGACGCAGGGCAAGGGCTGCTGTGGGCTTAGACCTACAGGACGGCCGTCGTCGCTGACGATGTCTGTTACGTCTCCACAGAGCAGACACTCCGCTCTGCTAGGGCTCATCCCTTCCCCTCCAATAAAGGCCCGAGCTCCAGCTCCGGCAAACCCACCTTGAGTGCCTTTCCCGGGCCCCGGGACAGCGGCTGGCACCCATCGGTTTCCGGCACGGGGCGGGACGGTGCCCGGGAAGGGGGCGCCTTGGGCTTACCGCTGTGGGACAAGAGCGTGGCATGCACGAGGGAGTGGGGAGTAAGCCCTGGTCCTTCCCTTTCTCCTGCAGCTCCCTCCTCACCCCTGCAAGACCTCAAGTAAACCTGGTGTCCCATCCTCCCCCTCCCCATGCGGGGCCCCACATGGGTCACTGCTGGGCCTCGAGGGACAGAGACAGTGTCCTTCCCAGGTGTTTTAACCCCGCCCCCTGTCATAGCAGGGTGGACAATTTCTGCAGTATCTCCAGCCCAGGAAGTCCTAGCGTAGGGGACTCCTATGTTCTCTGTCCGGAAACATTTCTTAAGGGAAAACACCCCAGAGTTTTGTTTGTTTTTATCGGTTCTAGGCCCTAGGAGATGTTTGGGAAAGGCCTCCCCTCCTTGTCAGCCCAGCAAGACGGAGTACCAGATCCTTCTGCGCGGAGAGCTGCACGCCCCAGCAGGTCTGGGAGTCTCTCCCTGGGGTCGGACACCGAGGCCGCAGAGGAGGGCCTGCACTGGATCTGAGAGCAGACCAGAACCAGAGGAGGGCCTGCACTGGATCTGGACCTCTCCTGTCCCTGACCTAAGGGTCCAGCACGCCGAACTCACACCCCCACACAATGGTAACACATGGGTGTAGGCTTTCCCGACTTTGTTCTGGAAACAGAGATAAGAGGGAGAATTCAGCCCCTCCCTTCAGCTCCAGAGCTCAGCTGTTAGTGCTGGGACTCCGCTGAGAGGTCCCTCCTTGTGGAGACCACAGTCCACAGCCCTGGGTCTTCATGGGCTCTGGCGGGCACGCGGCTGGACACGGCAGTCTGGTCCAGCACATCTCTCCCCTTCCCCTGTGTGACCAGGGAGGCCAGCGTGAGACTCTCTGTTTTCAGGCTCCTCCTGCAGGGGCAGACAGGTACATCGTGACCCTGACTCGGTCGCCGTCCCCGGGAAACAGCAGCTCAGGACATCAGTTCAATTCGTCCCATGCTCCGCGTCAGGGAGCATAAAATGTACGCATGACGGCACCAGAACAGACGCGCTGGGCTTTCCCCCAGGACTTGTGTGTCTGGTCTGGTTCGGGTGACTGTGGACATAGTTTGCCATTCACCGAAGTGTGGGACCCAGCAGGAGGAGCGGATGAGGAAAATAACATTCGATCTGGGACGTGCTGGATGTGAACGGCTGGCGGGTCATCGGAGTGGAGACGCCTGAGGGTCGGTCAGATACCAAGGCCTAGAGCGTGGGGGGCGGGGAAAGAAGTCCAGTCCGGAGGTGAATGATAGGGACAATCCCAAATCTCACTTATTTTTACTTGTTTATGTTAAATGTTTGTTTATTTATTTTGAGAGAGAGAGAATCCCAAGCGGGCTCCACGCTGCCAGCGCAGAGCCCAACGCGGGGCTCAAACCCACAAACCGTGAGATCACGACCTGAGCGGAAATCAAGAGTGCGACGCCCGGCTGACTGAGCCGCCCAGGCGCCCCTCCCAGATCTCATTTAAACCCCGGGTTTCAACGGAGCCGCGTAAGGACCTTGAGCAAACCAGAAGAGCTCAGAGCCAAGAAGGAGCCCTGGTGGCAAAGAGCAGAGGAAGATCTCCCAGAGCAGCCAGGGAGCAGCGATGACCGTGGCCAACAAAGCCAGATGCAAGGACGAGACCGCAAGCAAGATCGGACCTGGAAATGTCCGCTGGACAGCCGCCGAGGGTCGAAGGTGATCCTAGGGGGTGGGAGATGGGCAAGGGCCGGGGAGAGAGGTGGGGGCGGACATTGGGCTGAGCTCAGGGAAACAGATGAAGGGAAGGTCGGGACAGGCAGAGCGGCCCCTCCAGGGGTGGGCAGCTGAGGCAGGGTGGCGGAGGGAAGGGGCGGAGGAAAGAGGTGAAATCCCAGTAGCCAGAGGGGCCTGCTGGATGGGGGCCGTGCCCTGCTCTGCCCGCGGAGCAGGGGACTGTGGCCTGGGATCTGGCAGGAGAGCAAGTGAGCAGCAGAGGTCAGAGGCCATCTGTGTGCAGGGAAAGGACGGCTGAGCCCCAGGCTGCAATCTGGGAGGACACGGCTCCAGGCACTTGGGGTGCCCGTGGGAGCGTGGCGCCCTCAGACCCATCTGCCGAGTCCGGGTGAACAGGCAGGAGAGCGGTGGCAACAGGGCCATGTGCCCAGGTCCACAGTGCGTGCAAGGAAGCGGGAAGTCAAGGGGGAGCAGTGGGGGCCTGGCGCCAGGCGCCTCACACGGTTCACAGGGTGGAAGGTGTGTCGGGTGGCCGTGACAGCCGCTGGTCCCCACGTGCACCTGGGGAGCAGGGGGAGACAGTTCCTCCGTGGTTGAGCAGGACCTCCTCTCCCCTCCCATCCCCCCGCAAACCCACAGCACGGGAGGGTCTGTCTCAGGCGGGGGTGGGGCTGGGGGCGTCGCCAGAAGGGTGACCCAGACAAGGAAGCTGGGAGCCCAGCCAGCCTCAGTGGATTAAGGCCTGTTTCCCTGTCCTGGGGGAGTGGGGGTGGGGGGGGTGGTTGCCGGAGGCTCAGGGTTCTGGAAGGACCCAGGGAGAGGCTGCAGGCAGGTGCCAGCGTGTGTGCAGGGCCCTGTGGGGGCCACACCACCCTGGACGATTTCTCCTCAAGGAGAAAAGCGATCTGCTCCCCACTCCCCCCTCCAGCCCATTAGCAAAGAAAAAGAGGAAGATTGTCACTCGTGACAGAAGGCTGGTTAGGTCACAGGGGAAGGGGGAGGCGGGAGGGGCGCCACTTGGCCCCCAGGGATCCAGGGCCTCCCCCACTCCCCCTGCCCTGCAGGAAAGCTCACTTTATCTGCTGACCTCAAATTCCTGCCCCTGCCAGGACGACAGGGGACTGGAGGGCCAGGCCAGAGGGAAGGCTCCGACTAGGGGCTAAAAAAAAGCGACTCACACTGTTTACCTGTTTCTTTCCCCACCCACTTGGCATGTGTTAGGAAGCTGCGGTTGGCTTCTGTCTGGAAAAGCAAATGGTTCAAGGCCCTAAGCACCCAGCCATTGGCCGCACACAGTCCCCGAGGTCTGCCCACCTTCTAGCTGACACATG